CATATAATGCTTCCAGTCCATTCAAAATGCATTCCCCATCATTGTAAGAGGGTTTAAAATGATCCCAAGAACCGCTCTCTTCGTTGTTCATACCAAGGTGAAGAGTGCGAAGGTTTTTCATTCTTTGTAAAATTTTGAAGAGCGCGCAGTCCATGATTGAAATTTGGTCCAGGATAAGGGTTTTGAGTGCCGTATAGTCCGTTTGAATACCTGGAACCCGCCACAGCCGAAGACCATGATGGCTACGTAGCCAGACTTTGAGGTGCTTCATCTTTTGTAACCGAAATATTGGGATCACTTGTGATGAAAAACAACTCGGAACGTGTGTGTTATCACGCAAACGTGGAAGATTGTTTTGTAGTGCGTTGGTTCCGTAATCGATTTCTTTGAGGTGGTCAAAGTTATTTCGCAACTCTGCGGAATATATATTGTCACCAGAAGTGAGGCGTTCAATTATCACTCCAGGAAGTCCGCCGTTAACAAGGAAGGTGTAATCGAGCTTGAGTGACCTTAGATTATGGAGAAAAGGTGGGAGGAGGGCCACCATGGCGTAGACGTTTCGTGCTGCAATGGACTTGTACCAATCTGAACGGTCCTTCGAGCTTTCAATAATACTGCCCGCAATAAATCGAAGATAGTCGATTTCCTGATGAAAGGGCATCTTATCATTCTTAGTGATAGAGGTCAGGTCAGAACTGCACTCTTGAATCCCAGGACTCTCATTAATCCGAGTCTTCTGGGGAGGACTGCGCCCCAGTAAGTGCACCTCTCGGATTAAGCCACACAGGCGGCTGCGTGTGTCCTTATTTCGGACAAGAGTTGTCCACAGCGACATGATTCGGTATCGAGACATCTTGCCATTCCAATCCCATTGAATCTTTCGATAGAGATAGCGAGTGAAAACACGATTTAGTGTGCGGGATGTCAAGCAAATGCTGTTGAGGTCCCCGGTCTCGAGATACTCGCAAATCTCATTCCAGACATCTTCCATAAGAAAAAAGTCAGACATCGTGGCGAACGATTTGATGCTTGCGTTTCCGATTTCGTAGTGCCTATGGGCATGTGGCGATATATCAAGATGTGCTCAATCATCTATAGGATAACAGCACCTTATAAAGGTACCGTGGTTTTGTGTTGTCAGTAATTCTTGTGGGATCTTGGAAAATCCCCGATTGTAGCATTATTCTGCGAGATTAGTAGGTTTGAGGATATTCTGCTTACCATCCAGTAAGATGTGAAAGCTGATCCTGTACCAGCCAGCCTACTAATGAACCGTTTTGGGAACCGGTGCTTTTCAACATTTTCTGGCGTGTTCCGAAAGCTTACAAAGGGCTTGTTGATTTTGTGGAGTACTTCAGTCGTCACATGCTGGAAAAGTGAGAATCTGGATTCTTTGTGCCAGACGCCACAGAAATAAGAACTTAATCACTGAAAAGTGCGCTGTGGAAGACTCCGAAAAGAAAGCAAGATCTTGAGAGGAAAAATCCACGTAGGTCAGTCACACGGGGCCTAAAAGGTAGTCATTCACGGTTATGACCTCTTTCTCTATAATGGGACGGCCAATAAACTTTTCTTGTAAGTAAATGTGCTGTGCCGCAAAGTTATTTTCTATGATTACTGGGCACAAAGCAAAGGATCACGGCTGATGGTACGGAACATATCTGTCTCCATTGCAGCACCACTCATACATCTGTAAAAGAGGGACGGCTGACATGGATTGTGTAGAGGATAGAACTGTGCATCTAATTAAAGCAATGACCAACCATAGCCCCGGTGACACCCTCGCAGAGGTATTGATAAGGATATGAAGTCACAAGAAAGGTGACCATTACTCAACCGTAATCTGCGCCTTGGATGTATCGCCCTGAGACCGATAGAATAAATTCTTGAAGACGCTCTCTCCCCGGCGTAGTCAGAAAAGCGCTTCAGATTCGACACGTCAAAAATGTATGCGGGACCCGGCGGCAGGTCCATTTAATTGACCCGGAAATGCATTCCCGCTTTCCTGTCGTTAGTGCTGTCAAGCAGCCGCATACCTTACATAGATACCATGCTTGTTGCTCTCCTTTACTTTTCTATCATGAGCATTTACTATGGCATTAGGTATCCACGTTAACAACACCCTTTCGTAACGTAGGATTGCCAAAAACCTGTTCTTTGAGGTTCAAGGCCTTCCAGCAGAGAAAACTTCTTGGGGGAGACGAATATCTTCAACTGCCTGGGTTTATACTGAATACAGTGAAGATGCTATAACGGCAGAGTCTGAACAAAATTAAAGCATCATAACTGAACAATCTATTCTATACTGAATGGAGAAATCTGCATTTTGACGAACCCAACCACCCCTACTCAGAACCCTTAATCCTCCCACAAAGCACTACATCCTCCCCAAGCGGATACCACTTCACGCCGGTCAACCTCGAAGCCGGAACAATCACACTCCCCTCGACCCTCCTCTTTGGTGAAACCACCACGCCCCCCTGGCCCAACCAAGTCGGAGCAATCGTAACAATCACCGAATCCACCAACGACTGACAGCCCGGCTCAAGCAACGAGTTGATGATTGAACCACCTCCCTCAATCATCACACTCTTTAGCCCCTCCCGCACAAGACACTTTAACAACGCAGTCCAATCAATCCGATGCGCACCATCCGAACCCACCCCCATCGGCAACGCAATAAACTTCCCCCCATGACTCTCCAGTACCTCCTTCTGAGCCGCAGAAGGCGCCGTCTCCGCAGCCGTAACGATGAACGGAGCCCTGCCGCGCCCATTCCTCGCTAGCTCAAAGATCTTTGACTGCGCCGTAAACTCCCATCTGGCTGAGGGGTCGATGATGATTGGTCGGGGTTGGCCCGCCAAACCTTCGGAGCCGTATCCGCCTACCCCTGCCAGTCGACAGTTCAGGCCGGGGTTATCGGCAACGGCGGTGCCTACGCCGATAAGAATAGCGTCATGGCGCGAGCGTAGATAGTGCGTCATGGCTTTGGATTGCGGGCCGGACAGCACGGTCCGCGTGCCCGGGGCCAGAGCTAATTGTGAGTCGAGGGATGTGGCGAAGGTGAGGGTGGTGAAGGGGAGTGATGATGATGATGGATAGCCATCTTTGGGTGCGAGATGGGGTTCCAAGAAGGCGCGGTCTTCGGTGGGGAAGTTGAGGCTATCCATCGTAGTAGTGTTGCTGTTATTGTTGGATTGATGGATTGATGGTGGTGCGGTATCGGTGATATTAGCTCGGATTGGATGGCGGGGTTTACTGATGCCTCAGGCAAACTTTTGTGATTTGAGCGGACTCAGTTCCGGGGATTGTTGATTGGTCGGAATTATGGGCGCTTTGCTTCGAAAGTCATCGCATCTGATTGGTTGGTTTTGGATGCTCCTTTCAAGTCCAGTTTTGGCTGTCAGCGACCAATTTGCATGGCAGTAATTATTAATCCGCATGATAATGTGGTGAGGTTAGATATATCGAATGTTTATGCTATACTGATAGTTGGCATGTCATCCCCAGGCGGACTGCTGAATCCAATCCCGATGAACCGTGCTATGTGCTAGAGACTTGCTCACGCGGTTCCTTAATCTTCCATGCTTTCAACAAAAGTGAACAATCCAGTACCTTCTTTGATGACCTTGTCGGAATACCCAGTTTAGGAAATACACTTGCGTCATGTGACCCCTTCAATTACCGGTCAATTCCGGTCGCCTTCTCCCTGCCCTGTTCTCCTCAACCGGCACACACGATGCAAATCATTGTTGTCAGTCGTGATACAATCAATAAATCGGTCTACAGGACTTCTATTTTGAAATTGCGTGATAATCAGAGAATGTAGGGGTTTCATATGTTCAAGAATGTTCCAAGTCCCAACATGACAGCTCTTTTTTTTTTGGACACACAGCAGCTTGAATTACCTTGCAAACACTGAACTCCAATGAATATGACACATAGTTTGAACAGGAGATGCTGGCAGGAAAAACAATACAATGTACATATGCAATGCAAGTATCGCTTCATAAGACACACAATGCAACCATGCAACCATGACAAATCATCAACGCCAAGATACCTTCGCTCCAGTACGTAATACACGTATTAACACATCCCCTTTCCATCACATTAGGAGGTGAACCACATGAATCTGGGGCATCAAGATTAGCTGAAAGCGCAATCTCCAGTCAAGAAGATACCTACATCTCATAGGCCATAGAGGGAATATCCTTGCAAAGTGAGACACCAGATCGAATAAGGGATATGGTTGCACCCGTCAGCACGAGGATGGCCAATGGACGAAACGCCAGAAACCAGGCATATCTCCACACGACCCCTACTGCGGATCTGTAAGGAATCTGGTCAGCTCGCTAGCAAAGTTAGTTAGCAATCGTGCTGCAGCTTACATGAGAGTGGAGGTGGACGACATCTCAGTTAGTGGTGGGCGTTCTTTCTTTTAACGAACAAAGGGCCTTTGTGGTATTGAGCGAGATGGCTTTCAAACTTCGATGATGAACAAAACGATCAAGACATGATCCTGGAAGGTGAGAAAAACAAGCCAAGGCTCTTATGTCAAGGTTATATCCCATTTGCTTGCGCCATTGCCAAGGTGGCAGCCTGCTATCGTCATCCCCAACGGGTCTCGTCCGAGCCACAACAGCGGGGGTAAACGTTGCACCGCGCCAAAGACACTGAATCTTTAGATAGAATTGTCTAATCCTATTCAGGAAGGCCCGTCGTGAAAAATGCTGCCTGAACCCGATGATCCTACCAAATCTTGCCTTCCGACTATCCGTAATCTGTCCACGGGGTCCTCGCGGGCTGGCCAACCAGGAGGGCTGGCTGGGTCAAGTTGCGCCAGATGCGAAAAGTGACTGGGCAGGGCAGCCGAAAAACTTGCGCGGGGGCTCCACTATTGGCTCCTCGGGAGGGGAAAGGGGCCCGCTCCCTCAGCCCTACAAGGCTGCTGCTGGATTCTGTGAAATATCAGTTGACCCCTGGTTTTGCGCAACGTGGATGTCCTGTTTCTTCCTGCTTTCTCTTGTGCAATAAATCACTCGCTTTCTACCTGTTCCGGCCCAGGCGCTCACGGATGAAAACCGTGTCGATCTTTGACGTTTTGCTTGTTCGATCAGTCAACAAGCGTTTATCTCATAGAATGGGCTGAGTGTACGCCTTTTCTGCCCGTTTCTGGCTTCTACGTTTTTCTTGTGGTTACATTGTGTCAAATCTGCTTTGTGTCGCTCTTTTTCCCTCTTTGATGTGGCTGCTCAGTCTGGACTCACAGAATGGACGCGAAGGGACTCCACCGGTTTTCCCACTTTTCCTGTCGGACCCAGCAGGTCGTCACCTCGTCCACCTGGGAAGGCTTGCTGATCGAACAGTCTACCTTGTCTGCCGATACCAAAGGTTTGGAGCCGGACACATGGTGGGTTGACATCTGCGATGCCACCGAGGAAGAGGTCAGCACTGTCTGCCAGGCATTGTCCATCCACCCTCTGACGGCAGAGGACATTGCGACCAGGGAACCTCGCGAGAAGATTGAAGCATTTCGGAACTACTACTTAATCTCCTTCCAAACATTGCTTCCAACCGACGACCTCAAGAGTTCTCGAAGCCTCAAGCCATCATCGTCTATCCCCGGCTCCTCAGGGTTCTACATTCTGGTGTTCAAGAATGCCACAGTGACCTTTTCACCCAGTGGTTGTCACCACATCGCCCGAGTCCGGGACCGAATCCGCCGGACACAGGACACGCATCTCGTATCCAGTGATTGGATCTGCTACGCTCTTATGTACGCCCGCTATTTCTCGTTCTAACCCTCCCGACTACTGACAGGCCAAATAATAGTGACGAGATCATCGATGATTTCGAACCGTACATGCGCGCAGCAGAACGTGAAGCCGATGCGATCGAAGATCAAGTGTTCATCGCCCGCGTCGACGACGTCAAAGCGCTTATTCCTCAACTCGATAGCCTCCGCAAAAGCATCACTCAGCTCATCCGCTGCCTGACCGGTAAATACGACGTCTTAAATGGCTTCGTCAAGCGTTGTCAGGCGAAGGACAGAAATCCAATGTTCCCCGATGGCGATCTTTTAGTGTACCTGGGCGATGTGCAAGACCATCTGGTGACCACGTTGACCAGTCTGTCCCATTTCGATGAAATTGTGGGACGGTCGCAATCGAATTTCTTGGCGCAGCTCAGCGTCAACAATATCCGATTGAGTTACGATGTCAATGCGGTCTTGAGTAAGGTGACCATCCTGGCGACAATCTTTGTGCCCTTGCATATGGTCACTGGGTTGTTTGGTATGAACGTCGAGGTGCCTGGACAGAATGTAGAGAATCTTGGATGGTTCTTTGGTATCATAGGGTGCATGTGTGCATTTGTCGTGGTTTGCTGCTTGCTTGCGAAGAGGCTGCGGTTGCTCTAGACACCGTTTCGGGTCCTAGCACTATTTTCATATGGTCGCAAATCATCCATGATGGCATAACTGGGGCAATGCAATTCGCAAATACTCCCGACGGACAACATGTTCCAGCGTATAGTAATGAGCTTGAGGACCGTGTAGAGTTTGGGGAGTTTGTAGAAGTCACGCCGTCTCAGGTGACCGAATTCCTGCCAGTTCCACCTCATCTCATCTCTCTATCCATAATCTTGCCATCAACTCATCGTTACCAATTTATCGTCTGTCAAGACACTTGTCATCGTCTAATCACCTCTCATGCTATCTCTGATCAATAACCATATCTCTCAATCGATATTTGTTATCTACGAGATCTCCGACCAAAGTCTCTCATACAGCAAGCTTCCCCGTCCCCGCTCCTGGCCAGGAACGACGGACCGTCCCATGTGGAGTACATCGCAAAATGTTGAGGCGCTTCAGACGGAACACGGGCAAGCAAACCGATCTAGCCGGGTCGCTGATCATACGAGTACCTGCTCATTGCTGGTATCAACCAATGGGCCTGCAGACTAGTGTCGGAGCTTGATAAACTGAGGGTCGAAGGCACGGTCGCGGACGGCGCAATTACCGATAAGCACTGCTGTTCTATCATGGACCATAGCTAATCCTTCCCAATAGAGTGATAGTTTCCAGACACGATGTCGATGAAACCTTAGACAATATCGACCAGTCTGTTGTTGGGATAGTGTAAGGGTATAGCATGGCCGGACTATACACACGACTGGCTGGCAAGGCATCCTGGAAAACCTTGCCTGTTCCGGTACCCTTGCACGTGACAGGGGAGTGCTGGTTCAAAGAATGCTCATCCCTACTGTGTCCGTCAGTCACTGTCAGCATCGGAAAGATACGGCCCCGACACCTTATCTGGCCAGTAAGACAAGCCTTTCTATCACTGCAGCCAAGACGCACTCCTATCGGAGAGTCCGCCAATGGCATTTCCCAGCTGCAAGATAAGCCAGTTAGGTAATCCAACAGTGTCCCACCGAGACATTCGGCCCGATTAATGTCTTCGCTGCGCTAGACTGCCTCCGTCTCTCCCCTATTCTAAGCCAGGTTACCTGAGAGAATCACGTAAATTCGCAACCACGATTCATACGACTCAGTCACCGCGCACATGCAATTTGCTCTGCCTTTCCAATGGCTTCTATTATCACCACACTAGGCATGTTAGCCGAGTCACCAGAGGACCCCAGGCCCGTGCGATGACATCAGCGGTATCGGGGGTCCCACGTGGCGTCGTGGCTAACGGATAACACCAATCAGGGGCACCGATAGACGAGGAGAGCCTCTGGGAAATGAGCGCCGGCGGGGGACGGCTGGCCATTGGGGAGGCGTTGGATTCAAGGTCCGGTGCACCCGCTAAACTGGGTGTAGGAAAGCTGTCCCGCGAAACAGCCAGGAATCGCAGACGGGATGTCATGGTGATCCACTCGAGTCCACTTGCCCATGTTCCTGTGCCTCGACTCCGTGGAATAGGGAGATAGAGGGGCAACTCCGGGACGCCAGTACGCCGTAGCGGCCTTCTATACGACCCGCCGGCGAAGCTTACCAGGTCGCTGCGTCGCTTGACCATTGAGCTTCGTTATAACTCGTCCCACCGACGCGCAACTTGGTCTTGCCGATATGGGACTAAACCGGATATATCTTAGACCGAATTTATTGTTGCTGACGCCTTGCATGCACCTTTAAAATCTTTTCGGTTTCTCTTAAAACTTTTCTTCGTTTTCTTTATTTTCTGCCAGTTAACGCCTCCTAACTCAGCTTGCCCTGTCTATTTTGCCTCAACCACGCTGCATAACCGACAAGTAATCATGGCAGACATCAAAGCAGCTGCGAACCCAGCCATGGAGACTGACGGCGCCGAACTCGAGAAAGTCCGCATCGCCGGTACGAATCAGGCCGACACTCAACTCGCCGCAGAGTTTGGTTACAAGCCCGTCTTCAAGCGAGAGTTCGGTTATCTCTCCACTTTTTCGTTCGCAGTCAGTATCAGTGGTCTGTTCGCAACCATTATGACCACCATGTCCTACCCTCTCGAGGCGGGAGGAAGCAGCGCGGTGGTATGGTGTTGGCTTGTTTCGGGAGCTGGGTGCATGTGTATCGCGGTGGGTAGTCCAATATAACAATACGCTGTGCGGAGGCTGATGAAACATATTGCAGCTTTCGGTTGCTGAGCTTGTATCTGCCTACCCGACCTCTGGAGGCCTGTAAGTTTCACCGTTCGCTCGGGACGACGGCTGCTGACCCCAAGCGACAGGTACTTTACGATCTCGAGACTTGCTCCACATGATTGGGTTCCGTCGATCAGTTGGTATGGATACACTGATGATTTTGCTTCAGAGGATGAATGTTGATATTGTCTAGGGTGACCGGTTGGTTGAACTTTCTTGGCCAGATCTGTGGCGTGGCCTCATCCGAGTATGGCGGTGCGCAGATGCTCCTGGCCATTGTCTCGATGTGCAAGGGAATGGACAACTACGAGATCAAAACCACAACGACCGTTGGTGTGATGGCTGCTTTGACCTTCATTACCGGTCTGGTTAACTCTCTGTCTACATACTGGATGGAAAAGATGACCAAATTCTATGTCATCTTTCACGTCTGCGTCCTCGTAGCTTGTGCTATTGCTCTTCTGGTCATGACCGACGACAAACACGATGCCTCATACGTCTTCACTCATGTCGAGTCGACCTCTGGTTGGCAGCCCATCGGTTTCAGTTGGCTGTTTGGCTTCCTGTCAGTCAGCTGGACCATGACGGACTATGATGCCACGGCTCATATTACCGAGGAGATCAGCAACCCTGAGATTAAGGCGCCTTGGGCGATCTCAATGGCTATGTTGTTCACTTATCTGGCTGGGTTCCTGTTCAACATTGTTCTATGCTTCTGCATGGGTGACCCGAACGCTATCCTTAACTCCAAGATGGAACAGCCAGTCGCACAGATCTTCTATAACAGCCTTGGCAAGGGTGGCGCCATCTTCTTCACCGTTTCTGCTCTGCTCATTATCAAGTTTGTCACCTTCACAGCCATGCAGTCACTTGGCCGAACTGTCTTTGCCTTTTCCCGTGACCGCATGCTTCCCTTTTCCAACGTCTGGGTCAAGGTATCTCCCATGACTGGCACTCCCCTCTATGCGGTCTGGATCTCTGTTTTCTTCTGCATCGCCATTAATCTTATCGCTCTGGGCTCCTACACGGCGGTTGATGCCGTGTTCACCCTCTGCTCCATCGCTCTTGACTGGAGTTATTGCATCCCCGTTCTGTGCAAACTGCTGTTTGGCCAATTCAGACCCGGACCTTGGCACATGGGCATCTTCAGCAAGTTTGTAAATGCCTGGGCCTGCCTCTGGACGCTCTTCGTCAGCATTATTTTCGTTCTTCCCACGGACCGTCCCGTGACCCCTGACAACGTAAGTGGAAATGATTGCATACCCGTGCTCTGTTTGGGCTGACCAAATCACCCCCCTCAGATGAACTATGCCTGTGTGTTCCTGGTGTTTGTCTTGCTGTTTGCGCTGGTTTACTGGTTCATCAGCGGCAAGCGCTTCTACCATGGCCCTATTACCGAAGCAGTTGTAGCAGATTCAGCCTCCGAAAGCAACCTACCCAGCGACGCCAAATCGAATAAGGACAGACGAGAGAACTGATGGACGGCCATTGTGTTTGCCCGAGGCGCTCTTCGACACACCCGCATTATTATATCTACCCCCGCGACATGATACCCGAGCGAACCCCTGCAACAAGCCCGTGTACGAATCGATCCCTTGAGCGACAGCCCGTATGCCGACCCAAGCGAGCCCCGCAGCAAACTATGCCCAGCGCCTGTTATATACCCTGCGACATAACATCCCCATACGAAGCCCTTCACCCACCCATTGGATCCCTTGCGACAACCGGCCATCCCAGCGAGTATTGGATTTCCCCTGCGCCACTGGCTACTAATCCCCCATTTAGATACCATCCCTTAGCGACCTCCGTTGAACGAAGCCCTGTAGCGACAATCCGAAGCCCGTGCGTGTGCCGAATTTCCCTTGCGACAATGGACCGATCAGATCGATGCCCCAGCAACCAGAGATTTGTTTAGTGGCCCATATGTAGGAAGGTTTCTCTTCACATGAGGTTCTGCCTGGTGTGGGAGATTGTTGACTTGCTCGTTGTTCTGTATATACTGTTCCAAAAGTTCTTGCATTTCTTGCAAGTAATGATTTTACCTGGTGCTTGTTGTTGAGATTGCTTGTTCGTTTGTTTGTTGTGACCCTTTGAAGCCTTGAGTGGCATGATGGATACGACCCAACGCGGCAATCGGAGACCTCCCAATGCCCATGCGCCTGTTCATCAACGGTTCGACAAATCGATCGCCAAGACCCCCGCGGATACTGCCGCACGTGCCCCTGCCCTAACGCCAGAAGATAAGTCCGACTATTTCATGCTTATTTTCCAGACACGTCGATATAGGACGGGGTATCATCCGATATAGATAATATTCCCAACTTCTACCATCCTGATACGGTTCAGCCCTATGCGCTATTGAACTCGAGCCCACGCCAATAGCCGTCCATCCATCGAGACAGCGAGACGTCGGAGGTTCCCATTTCCTTCTACTTTGTCCTACGGCGATGGGATTCTGGCACGATTTCAGCCCATCGCTTACAGATGTATGCTAGAGCCAGTGAATTTTTGGGAGAGGTGGTGCGTTCCCATTTTTTAGATGTGGTCGGGATGTCAGATTTTAATACTATGCATCCGTTCACGCAGCTCTTATCTTCCTTTTCCCCCGAGCGTGCACACTTCCCTCGTAAAATGACCCGCTATAACGACTAATATCAGCCCATTCACTATCGCTGAGCAATTATCACAGGTACCTCAATCACCCTGCTAGGTAGCAACACAATCCCAATCCAGAGAAACTCAAACTGACGACCTTTTGACGTTCTGTGTTCCATCCTCCTTTCTCCGTCAGTCTTTCGTACTCCACGGGTGCCACGTTTGCCCTCTTTCCATCTTCGATCCTTTCTAGAGCCTCTTTCTTCCTTCTATCTACTTCAACTACATTGAACTAAACCCAAAAAAAAAGGCAAAAAAAGGAGGGGGGGCAAACCGCAAATCAACACCACGCCTCCGACCCTACCACCTCCATTCATCCCTCCCATCGCACCCCACCAAAACTACTACCACCATCGTCATGACCAACAAACACCCCCGCAAACCCTGCATCTCGGCCTCCTCTCTCGGCCAAGTGCGCAAAATCTACATGTCAAAGATGACCGAGCAGGGCTGTTCCCGCACCCTGAAGGACAAGTGTAGAGACATATGGGACAAAGTGATCGATGACGCTGTGGAGGCAGATGCCGAATGTTCCGGACCGATGTGGTCATATGGGTATGGAAAGGAACTGGAACCACTTTACATTCCGGACAAACCAAACGGAGTCCAGAAGAAGGAAAACGGAAAACAGGCACACACTGAGGGAAGTACCGAGTCCGAGACGGAAAGTGAGGAGGAGAGCAATTCCGAGACGGAGGTGGAAATCGATCCGAGTCTGGATGGGAGTGAGTGTGAGTGTAGGTCTGGGTGTGCGTGCGCGTGCGCTTGTTGTCGCGTGGAGTATCCCGAGAGTTTGATGGAAAGTGGTGGGGAGAGTGAGGCGGAGAGTTTACTTTCTTGTGGGTTGGATGGCGGGGAGGGGGATGATGAGTAGTAAGTGGGTAGGTAGTATTGCAGTGGTCTTTGTTGGGTTTGGAGGTTGGTGGGAAGTTCCGGGTTCGGTTTTGGGGATGGTGGTTTGATATGATATTGGTAAATGGGGGAGGTTGGAATGTTCCGCGGATAGGGGTATTTATGGATTTAGGATGATATTAGGTGATGGTCTTCCAGGAACATAAATATGATTGTTATTTCCTTCTAATTCTTCTGTTATAGAGATCATATTGTGTAACTTGGTCACTTATTCACGATACTCATCCCCCAGCATTAGCTGCAACCTCACCACCATGTCTTCCCCATCAAGATCATTTAGCCCCGAGGATCTGGACTGCCTTGATCGAGATTTGGAGAGAATAGTGAAAGGACTGCCTCAGGATGTCGACGACTTCTTATCTTCCCAGACTAGTCCATTGTTGGATCACATGGACGATATTTCCGATAATCTGGATCTGCAGGTAACCAAGCTCGAAAAACTGCGTGATCAACTGGTCCAAAGAATGGAACAACTTAAGGCTACCTTGAAGGCTTCAGGTTTCGAAGTTGAGGAGAAAGAGGCGTCACAAGGAGAGAAGAAGGAAAGTGAGCAGAATCAGCATCAGCATCATGCAGCGAAGAGTCCGAAACATCGTTTATCACCTCCTGCAAAGGTTAAGGTGCAGGAAAGTGATGGTGATGCGGACTCGGAGCGTGAAGTTGAGGCTGAAAAAGAGTATTTTAACACTTTGTTCGGGTAGGACATAGATTCAGTGTATATCCGATGGATAGACTGTCTGTATCCGGGATGGGGTGTGGGTGTGGTGTGGTGGATTTGGTATATTGATACTAATATAAGAAGCTTTCTGCTGATCTGATATGCGCATTCCTGGATATCTGTGATTATAACGTCATATATACACTTCAGGCAGCTCAGCTGTTGCCGGAATAATGATTGACTCGATTGTGAGTTCCCTATACTCTACCTCTTATTTCCATCGCGTATCAATACGTCTACGTAGATAATGCTACTCGCAATATCGAATCATGCGCTTCGTAGTTTAACGTATACCCTTATTAGCAACTACATCATATCCAGTGCTGCTTTAGCTTATCGGTTCCAATACACACCTTCCATGGCCTATATGTTACATCCCCCCATTGAAGAATCTCGAACTATCAGTATCTTCTGCACAACGGTACGTTACATGAAGAGGGGAAGGTGACACTACTAGTATGCTCTAGTACATGATCTGCATCCAACTGTCGGGGCAATCCGATGATAACCCGACCCCTCATAGGTTATCAGAGTGAAGCGCATATCAACTCCGTGCGGGGTTCCGACTTAGTCCTCAACAAGGCAATCGTAACCAATCAAGGATCTCTTCTAGGTACCGTTTCCAGGTCGCATGAAACGGTCAATATAATTCTGCTAGCCGAGCTGCAACCTTGCTATCGTGCTGCACGACTTCGCTAGTATTTGCAGGTTACATGCGGGTTTGCCAGGGTACTATTTATTTGGACACACGCCCATTCTAAGACTCCAAGGATATTTCAGGCATCATCATGCGGTGGAGGGCACTTGGCACCGTCAGTCTTATTCTCGACTTCACCATCTGCGGTATGCATCTTGACATATTATAGCTCATGTAGTCTCTTACAATTACAGGGTTCGCCCGTCTGGTGACGGTCCCCACTATTCCCTTTGCTGATAATAATGGCACCTATGCACTGTCACAACTCACCAAGATTGTCGTGGATGCTCGCCATGCCAGTACTGTGGATACTCAAGGCCAAACATTGATTCCACCGACATTGAAAGAATTTGCCGCGACCTTTCAAGAGGACCTTCGTTTTTCTCTTGGGATCGACCTCCCACTTGTCACCAGTAATACCTCTAGCGACCATGCAATTTTTCTGACCCTCTCCAATAACACAGACTTCCGCGATGTTGCGGGACGCTTCACATCGGAGGCATATGTCTTGCTCATCGACAATCATGGAATTACCATCTCTGGGGCAAGCCCCTTAGGCGTTTGGTGGGGAACACGCTCACTAATCCAGGCTGCTGTGGTTAGCAAACATAGCCTCCCTCAAGGCTCTGCATTCGATGCTCCAGGATGGGGAACGCGAGGCGTCATGGTAAGTCCTCAGACATCTCTACACAACCATACATCTAACCGATAAGCTCGATGCCGGACGTCACTACTACCCACCCGACTTCTTGATCGAAATGTGCTCGTATCTGTCCTTCTTCAAGCAGAACGTCTTCCACCTCCATCTGAGCGACAACCTCTACAACAACGTCGATCTCTACTCCACCCAGGAATCTCTGGATCTCTACGCAGCATTCCGGCCCTGGTCCGAAGACCCCGCCCTATCCGGGCTCAACAAACGAGCCAACGAATCGTACACGCGCAGCCAAATCGATCACATCCAGCGCCAATGCGCCCGTCGTGGTGTCACCATCATCCCTGAAATCGAAGCACCCGGCCATGCCCTCGCCATCGTGCAATGGCGACCAGAACTCGGCCTGACAGACCTCAGCATGCTCAACATTAGCCATCCAGACACCATCTCGACCATGAAAACAATCTGGAAGATCTTCCTTCCTTGGTTCCATAGCAAGACCGTCCACCTCGGCGCAGACGAATACTCCTCTTCTTACGTCTCCGACTATACTGACTTCGTCAACAACATGCACACCTACATCGCCGAGCAATCCAACAAAAACACCCGCATCTGGGGCACCTTCACCCCATCGCAGGGCGCCAACGTCTCCAAAGCCGTCACCATCCAGCACTGGGAATATTACGAAGACAACCCCTACTTTGACTACATCAAGAACAATTACTCGGTCTTGAACTCCGACGACGCCTTCTATATTGTCGGAAAATGGTCTGGAAGCTACCCGCAGTATCTCAACAAGACACGAGTCTTCCACGGTGATCCAGCAAACAACGGCCCCTACGCCCCCAACATCTTCTCTACCACCAACGCAACCGACAATCCTCCAAGAGATAACCCCTACGTACTCGGCCACATCGCCGCCCTCTGGAACGACTACGGTCCCAACGCAACAACCTATCTCGAGGCGTATTACTCCTGGCGTGACGTTCTCCCCGCACTAGCAGACAAGCAATGGGGCGGTGATATCCTGGAAGATGAATACGATGATGTGTTCGACACACTCCACGCTGTGATCACAGGCCAGAACCTCGATCGTCATGTACCGAGCAAGACGGATCTGATTCTACATTACAATTTCGCCAATACCACTGGGACAACTGTCCCAGATTTATCTGGGAACAACTACCACGCCACGTGTAATCACAGCTGTCCCATTAATACATCTAACTCAACCATAAGATTCACGGGAACATGCACCCTCACCACCCCTATCCAAAGCAAAGGCAGAGACTACACCCTCTCTTTCTCTGTATACCCTTCCACAAGTCACCCGTCACCTTTATTCTCAGGGAGGGACTCTACCCTCCTCAACGGCAACGGGTCCATAAGTAACATCACCCTTGTGAGCGGCGGCAACCCATACACATTGAACTACAGTCTCCCGGTCGGAAAATGGTCGGATGTGAGCTTGATCGGAAAGGGAAATAAAACATTCTTATCTGTTGACGGGGGTAAGAAGATGGAATTCCTAGCGAGACTAGGCGTGAATGGGGAGTATTCGGTGTGGGCGCCCATTGCGATCGAGGCACCGGTGCAGAGGATCGGGGAGGGATTTGTAGGGATGATGGGGGAGGTTAAGTTGTGGGGGAGTGCGAGGTGAAAACACTATTACTTAGTACTAGTATTACTATGATATCTGTCGATGATTATTTGAGCGCATCACAGGGCAGTCTAGTGGTGTCGATGTTGAGGAGCAGAAATATATACTAAGTACTACTACCGAGAACGACTGCAACTGAACTAGACCTAGAAACTAACCACAAAAATCTTACCCAGTTCCACCTTCACAAAACTCGCCACTTCAATCCCCCTAATAAACAAAACCAAGAATCCAAACCACCCATTCATGGTCCAAGTCACCCACGAGTTCCTGAGAATTACTATCACTGGATACTGGGTAGAATAGAGGTGGGTAATGGTTCCCCTCCCTCCCGTCTGCCGGACCCGCCCAGATTAAAGTTTTTCCTCATTGCAATCTACTCCGTACTAGTTATAAGCGAAGTGATCCAGAAGCAGGATTTTGTTCTGGTGAAACTCTATTCTTCTCTATCTATTTTCATATCACTAATAGAAATATGTCGCATGGAGTCACAAAAAGCAAGATTTTAATGTGCCAAACCGACCTACCTAGATTTGATGGGTGGGTAGCATAGATAGTTTGAGAGGAGAGGGGTGTGCGGGAGACAAAAAAAGCAAAAAATGGAGCTGAAGGGGATCGAACCCTTGACCTCTCGCATGCAAAGCGAGCGCTCTACCACTGAGCTACAACCCCAGTTAAGATACTTTCCTGATTGATCTATTGGTTCAGGAGATACTCATTCACTTTTCCCTTTCATTCACTGGTATCATGAGCAAAAGTAAACAAGTGATGTTCATAATAATCAATATATGTATGTATGTATATTCGCCCCATCTATCTATCTATATATCATAGCAGTCATAACATGTCATATCATCTAGCAAGAAGAAAAGATGAAGATCAAATCCCAAGAAAACAATGACAATGTATAGCCCACTTTTCCGTCCCGCTCTTTCCCATCTATAACCCGTTGTATCCCATCCCATCTAGGGAGAAAAAAGAAAGAAAACAAGCAAGTAAAGTACCCTCTCACCAACACCAAACACAACAGATCTCAAATCACAATCAGTAGGAAGGGAATCATCAAAAAGCAAAACAAATAATGGGGTCGGAGAACTGAATCGAAGTCAAAAGAAATGAAGAGAAAGAAGAAGAAAAGACTATTTATATCGCGCAGACAGTATCATCCCTATCACCCGGCCCAATACCCCTCCTGCTCACAGTAAAGAATGCAATAATCAGGCCTAGACCAGCTAGACCGGCAGAGCACCACAATCCCGTGCGGTATTGATGCGCGAGATCATGTCCCTTTTTGATGTCTACTTCTTCAGCGACGGCCGCGGAGATGGCAAGGGCGACGCCGGAGCCGATTTGGAAGGCTGTGTTGAGCTATTTTCTTCATTAGTTTGGGGTTTCCAATGTGATGTAAGAAAGGGGATAGGGGATGGAGCTTACCATTCCACCACATAGACTCTTCACATGCACAGGGACAGTAGTGAGAATGGCAGTGCTGGTGGTGACGAAGATGAGGGAGACGGCAGTGATGCTGATCAGGGAGGTGGGGAGGACATTGACCCAGCTGGATGTAAATCATTAGCATGCATTCATTCATTTAGGGGATAGAGTGGGTCACGTACAAAGTGGTTTCCGGGCTGGATGTGATAGCGCTCGGGACTGGGGCGAGAACAGTGAGGATCAACCCCGCCAGCAGGGTGTATTTCCCATTGACGTATTCGAGGGCCTTGCCGGTGCCCATGGAGGCGATGAATCCGATCACTCCCATGGGAAGGAAGCGGAGGGCGGTGTCGCCGGCAGACAGCTTGTCCACTTCTTGGGCCATTAGGACGATGTAGTAGATGACATTTTGGTAGCTGCCGTAGCAGGCTGGAGGGGTCTGTTAGTTTCTCTGCATGTAGACAAATTAGGGGTGGAGGGGACTCACTAAATCCTGCGATCCACAGACCAGCAAAGTTAGGGAGCTTCCATAAGCCCAGAGGCATCAGTGGGTACGAAATGAACTTCTCCCAGAGAGTAAAAGCCACCAGCAGGGCAACGGCCAGCACCAGAAGGACAATGATGAAGGGTGTGCCCCAGCCATAGGAGCCACCACTGGACAGCACGAATTGGAGGAGAATCAGACCCGCAGTGGAGAGCATGGCGCCGACATAGTCCATCTTGGGCTTTTCCTTGCCAGCAAGGTTGTCCTTGGGAAGGACAATCGCACCCAGGATGCCTAACGAGCCGGTGATGATGACAATGAAGTAGAAGATGTATCGCCATCCCAGAGAGGAAGTAAGGAAGCCACCAAAAATAAGACCCACGCAAAACCCCACAGTTCCGGAGGAAGCGTAGATGGACAGTGCGCGGGTCCGATCAAGCCCACTGAAGTAGGAGCTGATGATTCCGATCGCTGAAGGCACAGTGAGCGCAGCTCCCATGCCCTGCAGACCGCGGAAGACTGTAAGTTGGATGAATGATTGGCCGAAGCCAATGGCCAGGGTCCAAAGGGAGAGCCAGCTTAGACCCAGACAGAGGATCAACTTGCGACCATACCTGGATGAGAAAGTCTATAGTTAGCTTGGTGAAGGATATTGTCTCAAGGGGACATGGTACATACCGGTCGGAAAGAACACCCGCAAGGAGCAAGAACCCACCAAACGTAAGGGTGTATGCGGAGATCATCCATTGGAGATTGGTGTCCGACACGTCAAAGTTCTCTTGAATAGATGACAAAGCGACATTGGCACTGGTCATGAAGACATTGTCGAGGAATTGGGAGCCGGAGGTGACGAGCAGGATGAGGGCGCCTTTCCACGAGGCCAGACGACCAATTTCGGGACATGGTCCCAGCTTCGTGAGCTGCTTCTCTTCAATTGGGGTGGCAATACCCGATGAAGGCGTGCTACTGTCATCACCTAACGACGAGCCCGGACGAGAAAAGATAGTGAATTGGGGAAATTTGGAGGGAGTATCAGTGTCAAACTGCTGCGGCTGCTGCTGCTCCTGCGCGCGGCGGCCTCGCAAAAGATCGAGGATGGCCATTTTGATAGAGATTCTGAATTGAGGAACTACGAGACAGGGACAGCCGGGTCATTTTTTAAATAGTAGATTGGCGGGGCGCAAGGAAAAAAAGTCTGTAAAGAATCTGAGGAAAAAGTGGGTTCTCTCAGCTGGGGGAAGGCAGTGATGGTGTGGCATCGATAGACTTTCTCTCCGTCCACACTTCTTTTTCGGTCGCGCTCCGTGCCCTAATTTCTGGTGTTGCAGCATTTCTTCATCGATTGCGCGTCCAGCATAGTTCAGTTGACCCTGCCATTGCGTTTATCGCATTATCGCTAGTTTATTAATAGTCTACTGGCTTATCTGTCTCCTCCAGTCTCACCCTGCAGTGCGAAGTGCGACCACATTGTCTCTGGTGGATCAGGTCTGTGATTTCTCATTCGTCTCCCTGCTGAATAACACTACCACCCCCATCCTTCTCCTCTTCCCTTTTCCAGACGGGGGTTACGACTCCAGCAGAGTCGAGTAACTGTTCACATGCTCGCCACAGAGTGGATCGTTACAACGATGCTATCGATAGTGGATTTACGGGGTGGATATCCAATGCTTTCTGCTCCACGATCGCCGCTTGACATGTGGTCTGTGAAGCCTCCATGAATGGATAGTAGTATTGCTTGGAAAGCTTGTGTGACCAGCTGTTCATCGATCGGCGATGTGGATTAAGCCTAGAAAGAAAAAAAAAAAATACAACACCTCTAAAAATTTGGAATGGATTATTATTCAACCAGTCAGCGAAACCTGATTGCGTGCTCCTTTGGTTTGAGAGTGTCTGGAATCCCTACTGTAGCACCCCTATCTCTATCTAGCCACTGATCACCGTCCGGATGAACCCGTGTGCGGCGGGAAGCTGATCCGGTCCCTTTTTTCCAATGCTTGCTTGCTTGCTTACTTGCTTGCTTTTTCTTCTTCTCCTTAGCCTTCCATCCCGAGACCCAAGCCGTCGCTCCCGTTGGGTCGATCGACAAATAGTTAGAAGCTTCAATGCCGAAACTATCGGGCCGAGACAACAACAAATCCACCGGGCCCTGAATGATTACCCTAACCGCCCTGACCGCATCCGGTAAAATCAGGACCCTGTTGCGCGACCGCTTTTTGATGTCCGCCATGTTAATCTCCGCACATTGCGTACTCAGGGGTAGGTAAGTATGCAGAGGATTCGTCATGATCACCATGATCACCCACTGATTCCCGCAAGGGTGGCTTTTTTGTCAGTACTTTGGAGGGGCTGAGAGGGGGAGAGCTCAGAATGAGAGGTGGCAGATCCCCATAGTATGCACTTCAAGCAACAACCGTTTTAGCCAAGAGAGAGCGACATGTCCGTTGAACCCACAACTGTATACTATATTAATGAAGCATTACAACAACACAACCCTACGGGCTATCGCAGTCTCCACTAGTTGATTACTGATACTGTAATGCTATGGAGCTATTGATATTGAAGGATATAATCCATGCAGCTCGACAGCGTGATTGTAAATCTCGCATTGACTGGACCACGTTGAATGGATGGCGGGTCATAAAGAATAAAAAGAAAGAACTAAAAAATCTGTCAGCGTAGTATATCAATAGTAGCGGTGATAGTGAAGCTAGAGATTTCCCTCACCAACTAACCAAAGTACTGCAATGAAAATCAGCTAGCGTGTCGAATTCCATCCATATCGTTCTGTTATCGCCAGGAATCCATCCTCGGCAGACTTGCCCACGACACAATTGGCCAAGAAAACGGTGCCTAGATAACCCTGTTTTGACCAACAATCCCCATGTCTCAGATTCCCCTTGAATGAGATGACGACAGACAACCCGGATTCCAATGCCAGGGGCGCCCCCAACTTTCCAGGACAACTTGCCAATAATTCGATGTGGTGTATCACAAGCCCCACCAAACCGCGACTGAAAGGGCTGGTTCTCCAGGCTGACAGTTTTAATACTATAGCAAGTGAAGCGAAATTGGATGGTAGTGACGTACACTTCTGTGAGGTCATGCCTCAAAATTATGCTAGATCTGGTTATAAGTGTGATGGCTGAAACGCTAATCTCAATCGTCACCCACCCCCATCCTCCCTTGGGCTGACAGTCTGATTGATGATCAATGTCTTTTATGTCCATTCATTGCATGCATGTTTGGTGATCATTCTTCATCATGGAGTATGCGTTTAGGCAGAACTGTCAGGCCCCGGGTGTTTGGCGGGAAGCTACGCCTTCTGCTTTTGCTGTCTGGGGCTGATATTGTCCGATATACCTGAGTGTCCCTGATACTTTTGTCATTGACGTGGGTGATTGTTTTCTCACGAGAAGTTTATGGCAGAAATGGCCGCTTCTAGCGCGCTATTAACTGAAGCATGCCCAAGCGACCGTACAAGGACCCGCAATCTACCGTATGGTAAGTTCTCCATAGACCAGGTCTGGTCAGTCAATAGCTATCATCCAAGACACTAAGGTAAATATAGGGATTAACAACTGGCAGTCGGCTATCGAGAAGACACTGCTCAATTGGTTGCCTCTGGCTCCATCTCCACCACGCTCTCGTCAAGGCACCATACCCTAACGGGGCAGCGGACCGGACACGGGCGGAAGGCACCTGGACGGCAGCGGCGATGTGGATATCTCCAGCTAGTAGGAGCTGAAAGGTACAGTAAGTAGCAAAGATAAGGTTGAGGTGGCGGTGAGGGCTTTGTTTACCAAAGTCTAGAAGGCTGAAGGGTGGGAGATGGCGATAAATGGGACCTTGAAGGCCTAGACAAAGTCTTAACGGGTGGATCACCAGTGGCGTTCTAGAGCATCAAAACTTTGAGCCAAGTCACGGATGATCCACATCGCCCCACCGTGCCACGGACCATCCGGACTCTCCTGCTGGCTATTTGGCTATCTCGTTGATGGAGTTAAGAGGGTCTGTTTGGCACCAGTGTGATCCTTTCATGGGATGATAGTGGTTGTGTTGTTGACAGCGTTGACCGCTCCACAACCAATGCAGTGGCAGATGTCCTCAGAATTCATCGGTTCGACGGGGATGGACATCCTACCATGGAGGAGGAGATACCAGTGTACTCGAATAGGAAAGCAAGGACATCCTATATTGTGCTGATGATAATGGGCTTAGCAAAGGGTAAATTTCCCCTGTCTTTCGTGGTAACAAACGCTTATTTTACCCATACCCGATGCAGAAATCTAACCCTCCGTCAGGCTGTATAGTGGAGCGATTTCTTCTCTGAGTGTTAAGGGTCAAATAGTACCTTGTACATTAAACGAGAACTTATCTGCTCAGGGCAATATAACAACTACAAGAGATGACCAATGGGTTGTTGGATAATTTACCTAACCTGGCCGAGAAAAGGTGGTTGTCGAGACAAGAGTTGCAGACGGGTAAGATGCCTCTTAGGAGAACACCGCCGCGGGACCCTAAGCCAAGGACTCACCCGAGCCCGTACGCGACTACTATATCACAAGTATAGATCTCCTACCTTCTATGGTGCCGCTAAGTATGGTGCTCTTATTCTACCAGGATAAATGTCCCTGAAGTCAGTGCATGAACCGCTGCACATCGTCGGTGCCTGAGGATCCGCCCCACCCGCTCCATCCATGTCGTCATCGCTGATATCAATCCTCCTGGTCAAAAACCTGAAATGCAGCAGCCCTTGACACATATATCTTCCAATTACACTCTCATAACTCCTTTCCCTTCTTAAAACTCCTACAACCTTTACTTACTCCTTCCTACCCTCTTACATACACAATCCCCAGAACACAAAAACACAACGCGAAATGTCACCCTCACCCTACGCTTACCAATCCGAAGTATACGCGCACGGCCTCCGCGACCAAAAGCCCGCTATAACCTTCATCCCCAGCGAATGGGAGAACCTCGCACGAGCGCGCCTCTCCGCCAACAGCTTCAGCTACGTGCACGGGTCGGCAGGAACAGGCGAGACCGACCGCAAGAACCGGTCCGCATTCCAGAGCTGGTCCGTGATACCTTCCCGACTGGTCCCTTCGGCCAAGTTCCCCGATCTATCCACCACCCTCTTCGGCAAGACCTACTCCTCGCCTATCGCCATCGCCCCCGTAGGGGTACAAACTATCTTCCACCCGGAGGGTGAACGCGCTGTTGCGCGCGCAGCGGCGGAGCTGGATGTGCCATATACGCTGAGCACGGCGACAGCGACCTCTACTGAGGATGTAGCGGAAGCGAACGGGGCGGATGGGAAGAGGTGGTTTCAGCTGTACTGGCCTGGGAATGAGCATAACGATATAACGGTTAGTTTGTTGGAGCGGGCGAAGAAGAATGGGTATGATGTGTTGGTTGTCACATTGGATACGTATATCTTAGGGTGGAGGCCGACAGATATGGATAATGGGTATAATCCGTTCCTGAGGGCGGATAGCATTGGGGTGGAGTTGGGATTTAGTGATCCGGTGTTTAGGAGGCATTTTAAGGATAGATATGGAAAGGAGGTGGAGGAGGATAAGGGCACTGCTGCGGCGGAGTGGACGAAGATTGTGTTTCCCGGGGTGTCGCATTCGTGGGAGGATTTGGCGTTTTTGAAGGAGCACTGGGAGGGCCCGATTGTGTTGAAGGGGGTGCAGAGTGTGGCGGATGCGAGGAGGGCGGTGAAATGTGGAATGCAGGGCATTGTTGTTTCGAATCATGGCGGCAGGCAGATGGATGGCGGGGTTGGGTCGTTGACGGTGTTGCCGGGGATTGTGGATGCTGTGGGGGAGCAGATTGAGGTGTTGTTTGATTCCGGGGTGAGGTGTGGTGCGGATGTGATGAAGGCGCTGGCGTTGGGGGCGAAGATGGTGTTGGTGGGTAGGCCGTATGTTTATGGGTTGGCGATTGCTGGGGAGGAGGGGGTAAGGCATGTGTTGAGGAGTTTGTTGGGTGAGTTGCAGTTGTCGTTGCATTTGGGGGGGATTAGGAGTGTGAGGAAGGAGAATCTGAATAGGGAGTGTTTGGTGAGGGAGTAGATGTGTGTTAGGAGGGTTATATATATGGTATGGAAGGGATGGAAATGTCCGCATATTAGCGCATTGCAGTAGATAACGCATACTAGGCCATCGATAAGCAATTCTTACTATTAGACACTTACAAAGAAGAGCAGTTGCATAACTCAAGAGTACGGATTGGCTCAGTATCGATGTCAAAATATACTTTCGTTATCAGTTATCATCAACCCTCCCCCTTACTACAACCGCTCAACCTTCCAGACCTGCAATAGTCAGTCTCCATGCATCCAATACAAAGGAATAACTTACACTGCGAATAAAACTCATTCTCATACGTGCACGTCCACCCACTCGGACACTGCGTCGCTCCCGTATACCCGCTACCACCGCACTGCCCATACGCTGATGCCGTCCCAGTAGCAGTCGATGTCGTCGAAGTAGTCGAACTACTCGACTTCGTAGTCGACGTCAAGGTCGTCGACTTAATACTGCTCGTAGTGATAGTTGTAGCCGTACTCTTTGTACTCGAAACAGTTGTGCTCGTACCTACCTTAGAAGTCGAAGTCGAAGTTGAACTCTTCACCGTCGTCGATGAAGCACTAGATGCAGTAGCAGTCGCACTCGACAGACTTCCACTCGGATCACCATAAAATATGCCCCGTCCATTTGTCCCGACAAATACCCTTCCATAGTTCTGCAAATCACCATTAACGACATTCGCCGATGCAGCCCCGAACCCGTGATCGGCGTCGGAGATTATCTGCCAATTGACACCTTGATCTTCCGTTTTGAAGAGACCTGTGACGCCATCGACGGTGAAGAACCCGAATAGCACAGGGTAATCGCTATCGGAAGAGGGCTTGCCAAACCCGAAGCTCCATCCCTCCGTGCACCCGCTTCCGATCTGAGTGAAGGACTTGCCGTAGTTGGTTGAATGAAAGAGGCCTGTGTCAGTACTGACCCAGACGTCACCAGCGAGGGAGGGATGCGCGCGGATGGCGTTGGCGGTTGTGCTGCTGCCGAGGGTGGTGGTGACAGTAAAGGTCGTCGCGGTGTCAGATGAAAGGTAGAAAGAGGAGCCGGACGCTCCGTAGAAGTAGGTGTTATTAGCCTTGTCGGAGGCGATGACAGCTCCAGAGGGGAGAGAAGAGACTGCGCTGAGAGTAGCTGAACTTTTAGAACGATAGGCGCCGTCGCTATTCATGAGCAGGATAGTGTCGGCGTCTGCAGAGAGGGCGACCTGGCCGGTCGCAGTGGAGGAAGAAGCAGCGTAGTCGGCGTACCAGGACTCACCGAAGCTGGAAGATAAAGCGAGGGTGGGATCAGAGTCACTGGATCCAGAACGAACGATGTTGGCGGGCTTGTTGCCGGCATAGTCGATACCGTTAGTTGACCCGTAGGTTGGGGTGTGGTAGTATTGTGAAGGGGCGGTGGTTAGGGAAGTGTGGTAGAAGCCACCATCGTCGCCGACCGCAGAGAGAAGGGCAGGTCCGCCTGGGGGAGTGATGAGACCGAGGACAGCCATTTCTTCAATACCTACGGCGAGAGATTCGATGGTTACATTGTGTGAGCTGTCCCAGTTTTGGAGGTCGTGACCACCGTAGATGGTCGCACCAGTACCGTAAAGCCAATGGTCAGAGTCGTAGGGGTCAATGGCGAGGGCTTCGACCATCCACCCGACGCGGACTGGGAACTCGTCCGTTGAAGTGTCGTCTTGTAGCCACGGGGCATTGGAGATGTCATACGAGTAGTAGTAGTTGATGCTGGGATAGCCATTCCAAGCCCAGATAGGTGACCAAGTTGCTCCTGAATCTGTACTACGCCAGATCAACTCATCGGGCCACCAGCAGTTAAGGGCTGCGACCATGACAGTGCCGGGAACCTGGAGGTCGACTGCCAGTCCACCATAGCCGTAGTAGGTGTCTGCCATGGAGGTCGGGCTGATATCGGTCCAGGTGCCGCTGGTGATGTTGTATTTGTGCACAGTGCCATTGGTGCCATCGTAAGGACCAGCGCCGTTGGAGTAGGAGATATAGAGAGTGTGCTCGGATGGTGACAGAACGCCTTTGTGGGGAAGGAAGCCATACAATGGCTCTCCGGATACCCAAGCCCCTGCGGTTGTAAGATGATATTTGTGGAAAAAGATTGGAGGTGCTTACAAGTTTCACCGGCATCTTCAGAAACAAAGACTGATTCTCCAGTGTCCACCACGCCTGTTGTTGTCAATGAACTGCCCTGAAGGGTCTGAAGTCTCTAACATACCAACAAAAATGCGCGGAGTCGGTGAGCCACTAGACCCCGAGGTTGAGTCGAAGGTGACCCAGGCAATCCCTACCGGATCAGACGTGTAGGTGGAGCTGGAGTCTTGAAAATAAGTGCCAGTCCACTTAAAGGCAGTCACGTTCGACCAGGTCGCGCCATAGTCCGTGCTCTTCCACAAGCCATTGCCACTGCGGGCTCCAAAGTACAAGATGCTGTTGTCATTCGGGTCCACGGCGAGTCGCTGCAGTAGTCAGTGTGTGCTTGTAGAAACAGACATGGGACATACTTCGCCAACGCCCCGACCGGGCATGTTCCCTCCAACTTTGAAGGGAAGCTTTGTCTCCTCCCAGGTATCGCCCTGGTCGGTTGACCGCAGGATCGAGCCGTCATTGGGATCCCAGTCATTAGTGTACATGCCCACTGCAACATACACTCGGTCGGTATCAACGGGATCGGTCGCGATCGCATCAATGCCCCAGTCGTGCCTGAACAGTGAGCATGAGCATATCATAAAAGGTGCTTACGTACCAATTGGTGTTGTTGGCCCAGTCCATCAAAGGAGTCCATGTATCATCCGAGTTCAACCGGTATGCACCGCCGATGTCGGTGCGAGCATACGCGACACCTTTGGCTGAAGGGTTGAACACGATGCCCGGCGTGAAGCCTCCGCCACCTGATTACCTTAGCTTGTTCAATCCCTATGCCGAAAAGTAAATCATACCTCCTGTGACTACATTCTTCCAGGCATATTCCTGAGAAGCGGCTGCCTGGACCGAGTCCATCAGGTAGCCTGCTACCAGGGCTGCGAATGTACGTCGCATTGTGAATGATGATTGCCTTGGTGCTACTGACAATCCATGTGGGAGAGCATGAAGCTTATATATCCAGCAGGTTCAATTGCCGGAGCTGTTCTTCAGGCACAATTCTACAAAACAATCATGTTAGCACATGCGTGACATGCAGCTGGCCCTGCGTTAGTGACTCGAACGGACATGCTATACCTGACCTGGAACGGACCAAGGCATTGTGTGGTCAGACGGACGAATCTTAACCTGCGAAGTAATGGATGATCTGATTCTGTGGATGCAGGGACGAGGACATATATCCGGAGAAAGGACCGAATAGCCGAATAGATTAATTATGAGGAGGTTTGGGGCAGATGTTGCTGCGTGACTGATTCATCACGGAGCAGCCTCCGACATAACAGCCATCAACGCATTGACGGAGGACCTTAGACTTGGCTAATATCCGCGTGTGTTCGGACAGTACTCATAGGATCATGATGCACTTCTCTCTATAGAAGCTGTGAACTGCTTGACATTCATAGGGCGATGATGGAAATAAAATGAGCTCTGATTGGCGGAACAACGAGCTGCAGATGGGAATGAATGCATGCCATTTTGATGGTACGCAGTCCCGGACAGGCACGGTCGGGACTTTCTCCTGGCGCCTGCAGGACTAGCGCAGCCATGTTACCTTTTACCCCCGAACGACATTTTCCAGTTGAAAATTACCAAGGATGTGCAGCTGGGTTTCGTCTTGCCCAAAGGAGAACTCAAGTAAAGCATGTCTCAGTGAAAGAGGTCTTGGCAGTTGTGACTCGCCCGGTACCTTGCCTGATAACTTGTCATGTCCGGAGCAATAACTGCAAGGCCTGCCATAACATGCCGAAAGGCTCCACACTTCCAGTCAGAAATTTGACTTGACGCTTTTGCCGCCCGGTCGGAGTGGACTCGATCCAGGCTACTGTTCAGAGGGTGGACCTATGGCACTCCGACTGAGGGAAGTGGTGGGGAGCCAATATAAGTCCGCTCGGAATTATGAACCGTCTTCCCATCAATGGGTTAGATTATATTACGGACAGCTACCAGAGCAAACTCGTTAATTGCCATTAAAGTCTCAGACTGGGGTCATGCTACCGGGGGCCTAGCCGTCCTTTCGGCCGAAACTAAAGTGCGATCCAAGCTCCAAGCAGGGCCGGTAAAGCCCATTAGAGTTACCGTGGACATCGGGGTTTGATCAACGTCCTGGAACCATAACCGGCGAATAATGTCAGCGGACGGGTTCCCATAAAAAAGCAAGGTAAAGAGTGAATCCCGAAGGTGCCTGTTGATCCATCAACGTCAGAATCGGCCCGTGCAATCAATCCGGGACTGGAGACCACAAGCCGGGATGAAATATTGATACGTCCACTGCCCTCACGCCACTGTGACATCCACCTGCAAGCTAATCCAGTTGACAGGTGCCAGGACCACCAGCTCTTCTTTGTGTGGGCGTTTCACCATGAAACGCCCCAGATCGACGGCCAATTTAGGGTTGCCGCCCCACAACGGGCTGTCCCATTTTTGAGCTTCGGGGCCTTATTGGCTCCATCTAGTCATTGGTGTCATGGTTATATTGATTCGGAGAATTTGTTCGTGTCATTTCCTACTTGTATCCATAATAGGGAGCCTTGTTTTGTGGATCTCATCTTTTTGCGCGTTGAGCTAAATTTACAGACACTGGAGCTCAGATTATGCTTGCTGTGGCAGGTATGTAAAGGATGCGGTTCCTGGTTTGCTGCACGTAGACTTTGACTGCAGGTCATCATCCTGTCAGCTCTATTCATTCCTTCACCATGCCAGGGGGCCTGCATCCACCGCTTTCGGTCATGGAATCATGGCCTGCGCGCAACACCATCAACCCGGAAACCCATGGAGCAGCGTCCATTGTGCTCCCAGTTATCTTCGGATCCGTCGCAGTCACAGCAGTCATACTTCGACTATGGGCTCGCTGCGTGATTCAGCGACAAGGTAAACTAGACGACATATTCATCGCATTAGCACTAGTAAGACAACTCCTCTCCTATCACAACCCAATACCTTCTAACAACC